TTAGGTAAACAGCACATAACACACAGCAGACATACTATCTCCCCATATTTTACAGCACGTGTTTCAGTCTATGCTGTTTACCTTTTGAGCCATCAGGGAGCTCAACTTATTATTTTAAATACATAATCTTGTGATATCCAGAAAATCAATGCACCATAGAAGTGTAGATTAAAGCTATCCCGGTAGCAAACTATTAGAATATAGTTAGAGCGATGACAGAGGAAATCCTGGAAAGTGAGTCGAGTAGGTAGATATTTGCAACTGAATAAACTGTACAAATTAAATACTTTTGAAAAAGCAAACATTCAGCATCAGTATCACATCAGTGTTTCATGTATCCTTTTGTTAAGTATAATGAAGAATCCGAAATGTTTAACATTTTTTCCTTAATATAAGGGAGCACCTGTCGTTATTATTAAGATGGAATTAGATGAATTTTCTGCTAATGGCACAGTAGGCTTCTCCCTGATAGTCCTCCACCGCCACCTGGTGTTAGGATAATGAAATGACTAAACAGTTATAAATTATGATGTCAGAAAAATCACCTCTTGTGGAACTAACACTGATACAATGACTACCCTGTGGTTATCTTGTTATTCTTGTTCCGTATTTCCTTCTGCATCATCAAGGAGTTTGACCATATGAGTTTTTGACCTGAAAACGAGATTAGGTTATATTTTTCATTGCAAAGCATCTTGACTTCACATATTATTGCAAAGTTAAGAGAAAAATCATGCAATGTGGTTTATTGCAATGATACTGCCCCCAAAACATTCTCCCCCAGAACACCACTACTGTCCACTCAGAGCCTAACCCACCACATAGCTGGGAATGCCTAATGTTCCGAACTGTTTTGCCTCAAAATGAGTTAGAGGCTGCTGTGTAGCCCACTAACAGTTATCAGAAGGGTTCTGATTTCTGAAGAAGGGTCCAGACCCAAAACGTCAGCTTTCCTGCTCCTCTGATGCTGCTTGGCCTGCTGTGTTCATCCAGCTCTACACCTTGTTATCAACAGTCATCAGAAGTCCTGTAGCTTGTTGCATGCACAGAAAGGCTTACTTCTTGTTGAAGATGAAAGGATGATTATGAGGGGAAAAAAAAACCTGTCATTCCAACTTGTAGAAGAACTTACATTGGAAAGAAAGTAAATGGAGTAAGAGATCTATCAGCATGCAGCTTAGATGAGTCAGCAGTTCAGTGTGAATACTTTAATTAGAAAAGAAGTTATGGCAAATTTAAAACTTCTATCTTAATTTTCCACCCAACTCTATCTAACTAATTCAAACATTCCCAAAAGTATACATATCTTGTATTAGTGAAAAAAACCTCTGTATTTCATCAGTTCAATCCACAGAAGTTCATACTTTCAGAAGGATCAAGTCTATGTGATTAATTGTTATTTTCCAATGGTGTATTTTTCAACCAAGGCCAATGATTTCAAATACTAATGCTGCCTGATAATTAGTTTTGCTCATAACCTAGTCTGAGTGCTTCCAGTGTGATATAACATTACAACATGGGTTCCTTCATTGCCCTCACATTAGAAAGGCCTCAATGAAGCAGCCTTATTGGCACTCATGCAAGATATAGCAACATCTGGTGAGTAACCCACTGGCTCAGTTTTACCACTGGTTAGGTTGAAAGCAACCTAATGGTCTCAATTAAGACTTGGAAACCCTGTGTAAATGTTTGATTAATTCAGCTATGTTAAGGCATCTGCTGAAGCAGTGGGAACTATCATTCCAGGAGCCACAAATCTCCTCAGTACTTCATCCTGGACTGTTGTTGCTACAGATACCTCTGGATAGCCATTTGCCATCACCATTGGGTTAATGTCTTGGAATTCCCTATCCTGCAGCATTTTTGAGAACATATTCAGCTCATGGTCTACTGCAGTTCAAGTGAATCCACCACCTTCTATGGAAAACTCAGGATAAACATTTGTGCACTTGTCAACAGCAGCCATATCTAGAACAATATTTTCAAATGTCTGCTGGCAATTGGATGCAATATTTCAGTTGTGGTCTAACCAGAGCTTTTAAATGAAGCTTCTGTTTCACACAAGTAGAAAAAGACGTTTGCTCATACTCTTGTAAAACATCGGCTGTGGCTCAGTGATTCTTATTCTCATCTCAAAATCCGAGAATTAGTGGTGTCCCCAAAGGTTTAGCTCTAACACTGCATTTTTATATAATATATATAAATTGGATATTGGAATACAGGTAAAATTTCAAATTGCTGAATTGTAAATTTGATGATTTGGTACACAATGACAGTGATACCAACTGATTGCAAACCAGCATAGATGAGTTAGCAGGAATGGGTAGAAAAAGTACCAAACATATTTAATACAAAAAAAGTTGAGGTGATGTATTCAGTCAAAACAATAGGGAGAGACACTAAAGACTAAATGGTACAGTTCTAAAATGTGTAGCCGTACAGAGAGACCTACTTACCCATGTACCTAGATTTTTGAAGATGGCAGAGATGTTGAAAGAATAACTAACAAGTCATATGGGATTGTGAATTGCATAAAAGAAGTATTGAGTACAACAGTAGGGAAGTTATGCAAAATCTTTTTAAAGCTCTGGTTAGACCACAACTGAAATATTGCATCCAATTCTGGTCAACATCGTTTCAGAAGGACAAGAGGATGCAAAGAAGATTTACTGAAATGAGGGAGTTTAGTTATGGGATGAGGCTATAGAAGCAGGGGATGTTCTTCTTGCAGCAAAGAAGGTTGAGGGAGATTTGATAGAAGCATAGACAATTAGGACAGATTTACATAAGCAGACAAAGAAAATCTATTCATGTTGATGAAGGTTTAGGGGTCACAGTTTTCATGCAGGGCTGATATGCAGCAAGTGGCAATGACCAGGGACACATTGCTTATGAGGATGGTTGAAGGGGAGACAAATGATTTTAAAAGGAAATGGGTATGGGCACCTGAAGAAAATTAACCTGCAGGTACAGAGGAAGAGAGCAGAATTATGGGATTAATTGGATTGCTTGAGAGTTGGCATTGAATTGATGGGCTGAATGGCTCCTTCCATGTTTTAATTACTTTATAAACATTGATTCTCTATGAAAGCAGAGGAGTTCTTCCTGGTGTCCTAATGAATATTTATCCACCAACTGATAGCACTAAACCAGATTATCTGATTATTATTTCAGTGTTGTCAGTCATTGCTGTCTGCAATTATCTGTTATGTTTCCTATAATTGCACCGGTGATTACATTACAAAAGCATTTCCTTTCCTGTAAAGTTTGAGACATCTTTCAGTCATCATAGTCCTTTGCAATATGCCATACATCTGATGTGGTGTTGCATTTAAAGAAAATGTAATAATAGCAGGAGAGGTGGTGAGCCAGAGGTGGAGAATGGGAGAGCTGGTGAGCCAGAGGGCAGGGAGCAGGAGACGCTCTGTACTGGAGATTCAGAGTGTGGGAGAGTTGGTAAGCCAAAAGATTAGAGAGCATGAAAGCAAGACATTTGTAAGCAGGAGAGCTGTTGAGCCAGCTGACTTGGAGCAGGAGGTGACAAGCCAGAGGATGGGGAGGAGGAAAGACAGTGATCTGTCAGGTTGGAGAGTCAGGGAGTTGATGAGCCAGACAATTGGAGAACAAGAGAGCTGGTGAGCTGGAGGGCAGGGACCAGGAGGGGTAGTGAGCTCAGGGTCAAGCAGCCAATGTCAACAAGCAGGAAAGGTAACAAGCCAGACAGGTGGAACAATTCAGGATGTGTCTTTCATTAAATGTAAAAAAAAGTTATTTAATTAATAAATATAGGAACATAGGAAAGTACAGTATTTCAGCTTACAGGGTATGATTTTTAATTTTCTTCCGGATGAGAAAATTTCCACAGAACCTAACTGCAAGCTTTTACGTTACTTGTGATGGCCAAATCTGATTTGCTTAATGTTATTTCATTCAAAGTTGCACTTTTAAGAAGTTCAACTACAACATTAAGTGAGGAGTTATTGTACCAATTCCATGAACTCCCAAGTCTTATTCTGATTCCTTTGCTAACATTTCAAGCCCTTCCTCCATATCCATGTATTTTCTCTTTCTTGTTATTATTCTTTTCCTGTTCCAATTCACTCCTTTATTCTAGTGTCTTGTGCATTGTCAATTAGAATTGCTCCATCATTGGTAGTTGTCATCAGTTTCCCAGGTCTCACGGAATCTTGGATCTTGAGTGTGTGTAGTACCAGCAGCAGCCACTACCTCTCTGGTGACACTGCTGAGTAATGAAGAATTGCTGGCTTTTGAATGGTCAGCAATTCATAGTGGATAAGGGTGGAGAGGGACAGAAGATTCTTTCACAGCCAAGATCCTTCATCAAAGGCCTTTTGCTGTCCAATTTATATAATGAAAATTGCTTTTGCCAGGGGCAGTGTATGCCTGCTGTTTCTCCAGTCAGCCAGCAAGATCACCACTGCCTCCATAAAAACTTGCCCCGGGACTTAAGTCCGTAATCCAAAGTTTCACTGCAATTTAGTTGTCAAGACTGCAATGAGCAGGAAGATCACTAAGTTTTTGTTTAAAAAATTGCCATTTTCTAATAACAAATTGATTGAATGCGGTATTATACTCAATAGCACATTCAGCATTCATAACTTTTAAAATGTTTTTTAGTTTAGTATTTACTGAATGGGGAACTATAAAATGTTGCAACATCAACATTAATAAAAATGTACTACAAATTGGCTAAACTTTTGGCTAAATGCCTTCTAAAGATTAGGAAACCAATAATTCATATTGCTGTCTGCATGTTTGATTTCTGAATCATTCTTATGTTTGATTAATTTGGAATAGGGTATTGTGATAAACTTGGTTAAAGGCAGTACATGCCAGTAAATGGGCTAAAATGGGCTCAGTATGTAATCCAGTGGGATTTGGTTTTAATTGGATTTCTCATAATTAATTAATTTTGTGCAAAAGAAACGTTCAAATAGAAGTGCACACATTCCTTAATGCATTTATTAGAAGTAGGCAGTTGGTAAACACTTCCATATATTATGGATCTAAAAACAGTTTGATCATTCATGCAATCATGCTGGTAACCAAATACATTAGGATCAAGATATTCCATGCAAGTTGAAACGTAATTACAAAAAAAAATCAGAATTAAAGTTGAACAAAATCTTATTACTCCAAAGACACAATTTTCACCTTTATGTAAAAAAGTTAAAAAATGGCGTAATGCATTAAATGAAACCCAATTAAAGTATTCCCCCAGTAAAAATAAGGAATATTACTTCAACAAACAATCTTACAATATAACATTTATTTGGCATATATTTACGTAGTTTATTTTATATCAAACAGGATCAATCTTTACACAAGGTCATTAAACAAGAAGCTATGGTGTTTAGTGGATGACTTTGGGCAACTAAAAAAGTTCAAAGCTAAAAAGTAATTGAAATATATGAGGACTATAATACCTATGATTCCACATTAATTTTCTATTCATTTCCTGCAAACTTCTCCCACTCCAAAATCAAAGCATGTGCTTATCAGTGGCTTTCTTCAGTCAAAAAAAGCTAAAAAATAAGATGACCACAACAGCTTCACTGCAAAAAGGAATATAATCATAGACAGCATTACATTCAAGAATTTGACCCCTAAATATAAAAGTATTATGCTATCCTAGACACTGACTGTACCAGTTCACATTCCCAAAAATATTTACATAGTAGAAATCTATATAATTTTAAGTATAATTAAACCTACGCATTAAGAACTGAACAGTTTTCACCCTTGTCATATGGTGTGAGTTTTTGTACATAAGCAATATCTTGCGCAAATATCTATATGGCTTTATTTCAAGATAATTGTAGTGTTGCTTTTTTGTGGTTTTAATAATGTATGTTATTACATTTTCTGTATACATATATATATATACAAAAGAATTTTTGAATTTTGAAAAATTTACTTTCAAAACAAGGTACACATTATCATTGAGGAAAATACACATTATCATTGAGGAAAAATGCAGATTTAAATCTTACATTGTATTCTAATTCAATGTTGTCCAATACGTTAGCTGCAAGCCAGGTTTGCAATTGCACTTCCATTTAGCAAATAAGACCTTATTGAACAAGGTTGGGCATGTGGAATGAATACTCAAATTTGTACACAGTATGCTTTATTCAGTTCATCTATTTTTTGAACTATTTTAAGGTGAAAAGCTCAGTGCGAGCAAGATTTTATTGTTGTATTTTACTTCTTTGGTTTCTGAATGATGTTAAATTTGTTAAGTAATGTATACATGAAGTTCCCGCTTTGTGGAAGTATAAGTAAGGCATTCTCTGCTAATATTAATACAAATTGTTAATTGTGTCATGAAAGCGACTGTGGCTAGCAGGGATTTCTGCTGACAACATTGCATTAAACACATACTTCATTTTATTCGAGGTATACATATTCTGCGAACCATTTGTTAACACATGGTGACTTTGAAGATGTTGAAGAATTGGTCCAGAATAGTTTACAGGTTTGGAAATTGAACTGTGCCACGTAAAATGGATATATCAGATGAAAAAATCTTAATAACCACCAAATATGAAGAAATAATTACTTGATATGCAATGTTTAATTTGTAGGTTTTATTCCACACTTCAGGCCATGTTTCAATAATTTCATTTCTTAAAAGGTAGAGCTTTAAGTCTTAATAACTCATTAATAAAGAAACCAAGACAAGCATAGCATTACGAAAAATTTGTGGCACATTTCCAAAGTTCTAAATTGATAAATAGGATTAACAAAATGACCAAAAATTGTCTTGTTACTGTATGAAAAATTTAAAAATCATTAGAAATCATTGCTTACACTGCAGTGTTTGCAGATTGCAAAAGAACAAAAAAATTGTTAGTAAAATACCAGGAATAAACACATTAAAAAAAAACAAATATTGAAGTTATTTTTATTAATTATCATATTTATGATGGAAGAATGATTGTAATACTGATGTCAATACAGTGTAATCATTAATGATCCATCAATTCATTTGCCACTCAAGGAAGTAAGAAATGTATTACATTTTTCCTGTCCAAGAATATCTTTTAAAATTGAGACAAAGATATGACAAATGCACAATGGCACCAATTTAAGGCAGTTGTTTGACTATATGTTCAGGATCATGTCAGGAACATACTGAAGATATGCTTTCTAAATTATTTTATTTTATTTTCAATTTCCTTTCCTGCCATTTTTCTCACCTCCTGAAGGTGCCAAATCTAGTCTGAGGTATTATTTCTAGCAGCAAGAGCCATCAATAAATTTACTATAAATTTGGACAGCTGGCATTAGTGTGCTCATTGACAACTAAAAGCGTCATTATCCAACTCGAACTCTATCTGCACCAATGTTATTAGACATATATTTCCAGTGATTAGGAATGGGCACCACATCCATTTTATATACCATAATATAAGTCTGCACAGGAAAACATTAGGCCATGTGTGTTTTTTTTCTACTAAATATCAACATTACTGAAGTACTACTGATTATCAATAGGTTTAATGATACAAAATGAAACTGGTGTGATCAAAGGAAATCTGCTACACAAATCTGTAGAAATAAATTGATTTATAAACTTTTACAGAATGTCTCTCCAACTTCAGGTCACAAGCTAACTATTTAATCATGCAAGTATATTAAGTGCGACTCGGGTTTATTATAAACTAACTATAATTAAAGAAAAAAAAACTGGGTGTAAACTGATGAAGTTGCAGTTGGTTTTGAGACTTACAAATTGGGATAACAGAAATACGAGAGAGTGATTGTTTGCTGCTAGGACTAAAAACAAATGCAGTTTTCACACCAACGTGACCTATACGCTGTGTTGGAGTTAATTTGCAACCTAAAGCCAAGGACTTTGAAATTATAATGTAGAATTCTTAAATCTTAATATCTTTGACTGAAATTTCAAAGTACTATCTTAGTGGAGGATTTAAAGTAAATGGGATAAAGCCTCTGTTAAAGAATAATTCTAGTCAAACAGCGGTCATTTGTTCTGAGGGTCACCGGACCCAAAACGTTAACTCTGTTTTTTCCTTCACAGATGCTGCCAGATCTGCTGAGCTTTTCCTGCAACTTTGTTTTTGTTCCTGATTTACAGCATCCGCAGTTCTTTTGGCTTTTATTTAGTGATCATTTGTACATTAGTATCTCATTGCATAATGTCTAGGCAAAGGTCTTTCAATGAGGCAAAAACGTCTGGTTGCAGACTCATACAAGTGGAAGCTCTAAATTTAAAAGATTAGTGAACTTCCACAACTGAAAGGAATAAATTCGATTCTACAATTTTAATGTCTACAAAAAAAGACAAATTTAATTAGCCTTCCAGAATTTAACATAAGCGTGTTTTATAGCATAAGCATATCTTAGAAGCATGCCTGAACATTGATTTTAAAATGATCTCCATTGATTATATCATGTACCTATGCTTCAAGTGCAACTTTTGTCAGTTAAAAATAACCAGAATTTTCCAACTGTTCTCAGCTTTTCCCTGTTCTCTTGCATTGTGTCCACTCCCTTTCCATCAAATAATGGTGCTGCAATAGTCATTACAACACTTCTTAGAAATTTATCACCGTACTGCTATGGAAAGTGATTCCTGTATGTGTCCCCTGGGACAGATTTGGTTTATTTTAGATACTGACCAGATTACTTCCTTGCTTTAGAGAATAAAGTATTGGGATTTTGAAGCCTGCTGCCCTAAAATAAACTACAAGGCAAACAGCAACCCTTGTATATATGTAGAAGCTTATAAGAAAAATGTAACTAATATTTCTGCCATACAAGGATGTGGTATATTGATATTTAGAAAACCCACCCATTATTGTCACATAATTTATGCTTCAAGCACACCTTTTTGTAATTCTACACTTCACATAAAAATAGTCCTCACCAGTGATTTGTTTATTCTGAACATTTACCAGACTTTTGCTTGGTGAGTTAATGAGCGGATAATACAAATAAATGATTTTTTTCTAAAGTGCAACTTTTGAAATATTCTAGGCAAAGCTACATCTCAGTCATGGCAAAATGTGGTAATCCATAAAGTTGCTCTTAAAATGTTTGCATTTATTTAAAAATCAAGGATTTAACAGTATACTAAAAATATTACAAATACTGAGTGAAGCTGAGGGAGAGGCACTCTTATACCTCTAAAACTGTAGACAACATTTATATTCTAGCCTCAGGATAACGAACACTTGTTTTATGCACGTGATAGGAATTCTTTTACTATACTTTGCAATGTCTGTGTACAACAGTATTGACTGTATTCATCAAGTGACATCCAATATTAAGAAACAACAATCTTTTTTGTTTGCTTATAGTGGCTATTCAATTATAATCATATTTAGCATTGCCAACCAAATGACTGTAAGTTGATATACAAAGCCATATTAAATGTGCTTCAAAGCTTAGGTAAAATCTATCAAAAGCAACAAACACCAACAAAGTTGATTCATTCCTTTTTTACTATGTAAGACTGATTCTTTCACTACAGTTGCAAAAACTAGCTATTCATAGTTTGACACTTGTGTTCAGGAGTGCTCGTTGGTGAGGGTGAAGAGAGGATAGCAACAGCAAATAGCTAGTACTAGAACATTGTATCACCTGATAGCCAAACTCCAATTTGAAACATTTAGTAAACATCTAAGCATTCATTAAAATGTTAATAATTTTCCTGTATTTTTATTTCACTAAATATTCCATTTCTCTTCTTATGCACTCCAACAGATATTTTTTCAGACGAGGTAAATAGTGAGGAATCTTACATTGAAGTAAAGTTCCGTAACTGGCAATAACATTTCAAATGATCATTCTATAGTAGGACCCTGGGGAGTGATTGGCAGTTGATTATTTGAGTACAAAAGTGGTCATGACAAACACAGAAGATAGAAGTGCAGATTAAATGCTTTTTTTAAATTCTGCAACATTTGTGTTTTTGGATGATGTGCAGTCAATCTCAGACATGGCCTTGTTGTTCAAAAGATAGATCACTAAAACTGCACCACTAATGAATCAATGCTGCTGCAGTTTGTGGTGATATCCATAAATGACATTTGCTAATTTTACCTATATAATGCTAAATGGAAATTTTACCAGCTGTGCAACATTAGAATTCAGTGAACTAATTATTGGAAAATGTCTGAATTCAGAATTAATAATGCTCTATTCATGTATGAATAAAACATCAGAACCTTCGTATATGATTTCTTTAAAATAAAGCCAGAGTCACTTTCACAAAGATTCCACCTGCACAGCAGCATTATATAACCAATAACTTACAAGAGATCGACATTTCTTTTTTTTTAAAGATTCCATAAAATTTGCTATTTATTAAAATAATTCTTCCCTCATCTTTTGAAGGCTCACGGAGGTGTAAGAATGATGGGAAAGGATCTAGTTAGTCATCATCCTACCTTAGAAATGGTGTATCCTACGAGAACCACCAACTCCTCCTGCCATCATACAATCTTCTGGGACAGAAAAAAAGCTAAAGTCATTTTGAGAAAGCTGGGGTAACTGCATTTGAAAGAATAATTGGGCTGTGTTTAAAAGACAGTTAATTCCCTATCACCAGTTTTCCAACCCTGTGCTGCATGTAGCTTTGGTCATATAAAAACTCATCTGCGAGGGTAATACATCAAGTGTCAGTAAGATATTCTCTCATGCTATCTCTTCAGCTGTCCTTATTTAATATCCACATGTGCACTTTCTCGTAATTATCACTCGACAGTGATCAGAAAAAAAACCAAACTTTTTTCTCCTTTTGCCCCAGGAAACTAGAGCAAATTTTGGCTCCTGCCCCATACCTCATCTGTGATCAACTGACTCTGACTAGACCAAGGGACCAAACATGGGGTCTATGTCTTCTGTATGGCTCAGTATTATATATTATACTTGTGCTAGGGAGCAGAGGTGGTTGAAAATATGTATGTAGTGGTTCTTCAGGTGCCTGATTCAAGCCCCTAGGAACTCTTGACACATTAGTAATTACAGTATTCTTTAAAAGAAACAAACAATCAAATGGATTCCAAACAATAAATATGTACTCTTCTACTCATGCCTTCAATTATTCTAGTGTTTGACATAGGCACTTGAGGTACTGTATCTGTTCCCTTTAAACAAGATGGAAATACATGTACTATACATTAATTAACATTTGTAGTCACTGTATTTTCATAATGCTAATATGTAGTAGTTATTCAAATTAGTGTTTCATAATGCACATCCTTGTAAAATGTCTGTTATTCAAATTCAAATGATTAACCAGAAGCATTAATAGATGGCAGTGCTGGAAAATTGTTGAGTAATGCTGGAGTGAAGGGTTGCAAGATCTATTTCAGAAAAGGAACCTAATTATTAAAGAAAGGTTATACCTGTCACATGCTGTGATTCAGTTCAATAGGTACCAGTACCACCACATGGCTGCTATTTGTTTAAGAAACCTACAGACAGCTTGCTAACAGCCCATTCTCAGAAAGGGTGGGGCATCAAGTCATCTCCCCACCAGGTGGCAATGGCCAACTACTATGGTAAATTAATAAAAGTTCCGGCTGAGGTGAGAAATTACTGGATGCCAAACCTTTATATTCAGACATTAGTTCTGCACCAAATTGGTGTTTTTACTCATTAGGCCATTAAAAGAGAAAAAAAAAAATCGGGGCTTTCCTTAAGTTGTATATTCATTTCTCTGTCAGGGATAGTAAAGCTAAAATGAAGAAAAAGCAAATGATATATAACACTCCCAACGTTCAATTTCATAATAAGTGCTTCACTTGCTGGTTCCAGCCAGATTTTAATACAAATTTTAAAAAGTTTATGTATATTTTCCATGAAGCATCTTTTGGATTAGAATGTGGAGGTAAAGAAACAGAATTAATTTTAAAACTCAAGCATAATATTGTCCTTTCAAAAGAACTGGACAAGGTGTGATACATTGTTAATTCAAAACCATTTGATCCGGTTGTGATCGATCATTACTTCCAAACTTGTTCTCCTGCCATTGTCTTCGCAGCTGTATTATATCCCTACCAAACCATTCATGTAATCTAGTAAAGCTGAATACTCCTGCTGGTGTATTATCATCTTGGGCAAGCATCAGACCACCAATTGCAGATGTTACACCTCCTGTTGCTGATCTCCTCCTAGGGGGAAGAGGTGGTGGCAAACGTTGTGTATGTAGTGGTCTTTCAGGTGCATGGTCTAAGAAACATTTTGAGATATCATTATTGTCATTAACAGTGTGTGCTTTACCATTCAATTCACTATCAGTAATTTGATCTTGGATGGTATTCCAGGGGACATAGCCATTCTCCTTAACAGGAGTCCTATAAGATACAGCAAAATTATGAGAGATTAGTGGTGAACTGTGAGGATTGTTTCCTTGCTTTCGCAGTAGTGATTTTCTTTGGCTTTTACGGCTGCTGGATCTATTTTGTTGCATCTCTTCCAATTGTTTCTCCAGTTCCTTCACAACAATTCTCATATAGTCAAAGCTTGCACGAGATAAAGCTTTAACCCAAGATTCCATTTCTCTCTGGCTCTCAGCAGCCATTTTATATGTTCGCGATTTAGCACTGTCAAACTTGATTGCAAAGGCATAATCCTCTGAAGATTCGCACAATTCCACAGTACATCCCTCAAGTATGATCACACCAATTGGGTCTTTACTGTCCTTTTCTTCAAAGTAAAAAAACAGATTACCCTTCAAAACAAACCAGCGCCTGTGGTAAGCAGTGTTTCGTTCTCCTTTCTTGTGCAAGTATCCAGTCTTATCAGTCGGAGAATCACAGGTGGCATAGTATGCCACACTTCGTTCATTTAACTTCATGCTTTAGTTTCTACAAAAAAAATCAAATCACACAGAGGGAATCTTAGATGGAGAATAAGGTTAGTTTATTTTTCTTTATTCATTAACAGGATGAGGACGTCACTGGACAGGCAGTATTTACTGCCCGTCCCTAATTGCCCAAAGGGCAGTTGATAGTTAACCACATTGCTGTGGGTCTGGAGTCACATGTAGGCCAGACGGGGTAAGGAGGGCAGTTTCCTTCCATAAAAGACATTAGTGAACCAGATGGGTTTTTCCGACCATCGACAATGGGTTCACAGTCATCATTAGATTCATAATTCCAGATATTTATTGAATTCAAGTTCCACCATCTGCGTGGCGGGATTCGAACCCGGGTCCCCAGAATGTTATCTGGGACTCTGGATTAACAGTTCAGCAATAATACCACTAGGCCATCACCTCCTCTTGATATAACAGTTATAGAATCACCGTAAAAAATGAATTTCAGCCTTGAAGATTTAGTCATATTTGGGAAGGGCAATTTTTGTCTCTCGTATTAACACTGCCACAAACAGAGCACTCCCATCTCATGGAGGAGGAAATAAATCTTTCTTGTAATTAATGCACGGTATTCAATTCAGTGAGAAATAGCTTAAAAGACCACACCAAAATATAGGCAACATGAAGTTACCAGGGAAAAACCTGAACAAAAGGAAGCACCCACAGACTGATTAAATTCTATCTGACTGCAGCATGTGAAGTGAAATTGATTGCGTCAGTGCCACAGGGAACCTTAAGGGCTCTCGTAGTACGCCAGTCCTTAACAACAAAATATGAGATGCAGTTTTAATTTAAATTAGATTTAAGAAATGGAAACCGGCAGGGGCACCATTTAGTCACAGAGGTGGACAACATGAAAACAAACCCTTTGGCCCAACTTGCCCATGGCACCCAGTTTTCACAATTTAAACTGGACCCATTTGCCTGCATTTGGTCCATATCCCTCCATCCCTATCCCATCTATGTACCTGTCTAAATGGTGAAATTGTACTCGCATCCACCACTACATCTGGCAGCCTGTTGCAGACACTTACCACTCTCTGTGTGACAATTTATTATATATATTACAAACAGCACCAGGGACCTGGGTTCAATTCCAGCTTTTAGTGACTGCCTGCGTGGAGTCTGCACATTCTCCCAGTGTCTGCACGGATTTCCTCCTGGTGCTCTGGTTTTTTTCCCCAGAGTCCAAAGATGTGGTTAGGTGTATTGGACATGTTAAATTGCCCCATTGTTTCAGGGATGTGCAGGCTAGGTGGGTTAACCCTGTATTTACCATAGTTATGAGGATAGGGTGGGATGCTCTTTGCAGGGCATGTGCTGACTTGATGGACAGAATGGTCTCTTTCTGCACTATCAGGATTCAATGATTCTATGATAACTGTCATATTTCCAAACCGGAAAAGAGGAAATGCATCCAAACTTGAAATAACAGCTGACAATATTGGTAGCAAAGCATTACGGTATTTTTGTGATCTTTGATTTCAAAGGAAGTTGTGAATGCAGGAACATAAGTTGGAAACTGAGAATGTGGAATCATTTTTAATGATTTCTTGTAACATTCTGTGTACTATTTTAATGTCGACATTAGATCATTTATTTCAATGTGTCAAGTGGCTGTGTGGCAATGTTCCAAACGATATTTGTTCTTCTCTAATATATGAACTCCAATTTTAGTTTTGCAAATTGCATGCTGACACTGCATATGATTGGAAGCTTTCATTGGGGTTGGGATTTTGATTTAAAGGCGGAAATCATAAATGATTTTGATACAATAAATAAGGATAACTTTTCAGTATCACAAAAGTCAGTAATCTGATTCTACAGAATTCAAGTAGTTGTCACAATGAAAAGAAAACTGGATAAATACTTGAGAGGGCAGGGGCAGTAGCTCCAAAAAACTGACACAGCTGGAAACTCACACATTGGACTGATCAACTATTTCAGAAACCATTGAATCAAAGTTGAAGCAAGTCATTCTGGAGGACCTATGAAGCAGTTTGTAAAAGAGCTTGCTACACCAAAAATTGACTGACAAAGTACTGTATTTCAATGGCTTTAAAGCTCTCAGGGATAGCCTTAAGACAGGAAAGGCTCTACAAAATACAGAAGATTTTCTTTCTGTAAACCTGATCAATACATAACCGTTAGTAGAACAGCCACATTAGAGGGTAGTTTATTGTGCAATTTACTGCTTTAGAATGGAATGTGTTTTTGGGGTACATTGGCCCTGGAGCTTATTAAACAGCTGCTGTGTAGAGTGAGTTGAGGAAGTGTGGGCTGAGGTTGGCTAGGGGTAGGGTGGGGTGGGATTGTGCAGAGTGGGGTAGTATAGGGTGATGCAGGGGACCCCCTGGATCCAGAGGTTTCTCTTTCACCAACAAGGGCCAGGGGCGAACAAAAACAAAGTTGCTGGAAAAACTCAGCAGGTCTGGCAGCATCTGTGGAGGAGAAAACTGAGTTAACGTTTCGGGTCCGCTGATCCTTCCTCTGAGCGCTGTTCCGAGGCAGGGTCACCGGACCCGAAACGTTAACACTGTTTTTTCCTTCACAGATGCTGCCAAACCTGCTGAGCTTTTCCAGCAGCTTTGTTTTTGTTCCTGATTTACAGCATCCGCAGTTCTTTTGGTTTTTATTAAGAGCCAGGGGCGCATGCGCATGACCGGCGGCGACGAAGGTAAACGGTTCGTTTTAAAAACAAAAGTCCTCCGGACGAAACGCCACCTAAACCTCATTTTAAAATCACCGAATTCCTCAAGGAAAACAAAACCGGAGTACAGAATATGTCAGTGGTGTCAGTAGTTGTCGAGCCAGATGGTCCGGCTTTTCGGTCGTTACCAAGGCCGCGGGCTCGAGGAGAATAAAAAAGGTAAAAAGAAAATGAAAAGTGGTCAAGAGAGGGACAGAGCAAAGGTTTGACGGCCAGCTCTATCAAACTACCGCTCTATAATCTGTCACTAATATAAGAGAATTTTTTTTTTTACTCACTGCCTCGCCTCTGTCAGGACTCCACTGGTCTTCATTGTTTTTTCTCTCCTTTTACGTTTAATGATAGTCCTGAAAAGCGTGTGACGTCACAGCCCAGCCAGGATGGCTCTTGTTCATTCAGCAGATTCTGTGCCAAGCCACAGCCCTCCCTGGGGAAGCCTCTCTCTTCATTCTTTTTACAGTGGCCCAAACTTCAGCTTTCTTTCCTTCTAAATAAATGTTTTCTTCTACCCTTTTCCTGCCCCCCTCATCCAAAAAGGACCTGACTGATCCAGAGATGCCAGTTCGATTGTAGCTGGGTGCATTTAACTTCAATTAATCCATCAGTCTGGAAGAAACCGTTCGCCTTGTTACTTGTGATTGTGAAACTACCAGATTGTGGTAAAACAAAACACGCCTGCTCTCTTCAAGGGGAGGAAATCTGCTACCCTTACCTGAAATGGTCCTGCGTACGACTTCAGATCCACAGTAAAGTAGTTGACTCTTCACTTGGTTCTGAAATAGCCTAGCAAGCCTCGTTGTGTATCAACTGCTGTGGACGTGTACCTTATGTCACCTGGGCTGCAGTAGTTCAAGAAGGTTACTCACCACCACCTTTTCAAACGCAGTTAGGAATGGGCACTAAATATTGGCTTTGTCAACACACTTACATCTCAAGAACAAAGATAAGATGCTTATAGCCATCACTGTTGTCTCGTACAACCTCCTCACAAATTGCACCCATTTGATTCTGGTATTCTTGCCCACTTTGCTTTTACCATTGGTAGTTGCACTTTGGTGGTCTCAGTTTTATGCCTTGAAACTCCTTTAGGGTTGCCAACTGTATTGAATATCTTTGGAGATTAAATCATATCATATTGGCAGTAACACAAAAGTCAGTAATCTGATTCTACAGAATTCAAGTGATTGTCACATTGAAAAGAAAACTGGATAAATACTTGAAAGGGCAGGGGCAGTGGCTCCAAAAAACTGACACAGCTCACAGATCGCACACTGGACTGATCAGCCATTTCGGAGCCCATCAAATCAAAGTTGAAGCAAGTCATTCTCAATCTGGAGGACGTACGAAGCAGTTTGTAAAAAAGGAAACAGCTTTTGATGTCATCTTAATTTTTCTTGTAACCAATAAACTAAGGTGATTGAAGAAAGCGAACAAAACACTTTTAATGCTGATATGATTTCTCTCCTGAATTTCCAGCAGCAGTGAGAGCGAGATTAGGCTTTTTAAATCCTGGTATCAGTGGCAATCCTGGATACTGAGCAAAAGTCTTTGGCTCATATTTCATTCCCTTGGCTTTCCATTACAAAGTACATGTGACTTTGTGTTGCTGCATTCTCTAAAACAGTAGCTCGTCTTGTTAAAAGATGTTATACAGTCCCTTTGATCAAACTAATTTCAAGAAAATAAGTGTTATGGACCAGGTCAGACCCCCTCAAAATATTTTAAGAAGGTAGCCTAGACCCTAAACTTTTCTTATTTTTAAGGCAGATGTGAAGTGGGTGTTCCAGGTGTGATGCAATTGGTAAAACCACTCGGCTTTAGGCAAAACACAATTTATTTAAACATTACAGCTGAAACACGAACAAATGAAAGTGGAATTTAGAGTAACAACTATTGGAAAACCTAACCAACCCGATACAGCAACTTAACTAATTAACTGTTCCAATATAGTAACATCCCATAAACACACCCTTGGCCAAAAGGTAAATTCAAACACAGATTTTTACAGGCAGGAGGGAACAATATCCAGAGAGATATTTCAGAGAAAGTCAGAGGAATCCTTTACTGAAGCTTGCGACCCTTCTGATACTCAAAACATGTTGTGACTGCTACAGATAAAAAAAACTACAAAAAACCTGAACTAGGATAACTGGCCACTCCCCTTCCATTGTTAAACAGTTGCTCTCTAGACTCTTCAGTGCCTCTGCCTTTACAACCTCTCTTAAAAAACCGTGGACAAAATAACCTTTTTAAAATGACAGCATCGTCACACAGACCTCACCCCTTACTTTCCTTCTGACGTCTCCAAAATCAGTGATATTTAACCTTTGTTGTTTTCCTTTCCAGTCTGAATACAAGATTGATTCAACTTTTTGACTTGTTGATGCTGTCTTCCAACTATCTGTGCATTTGAGACCTACGTTACATCATGTATCACATCAACAGGAGTTGGAAAGGGGTATACGTGGTTAAAATACCTTGGGATAAGATGGAATTTTGATTAAATATCATATTTGACTTAATTATTTTCTTTTTAAAAAGATTTTTATGTTTACTTTCATGCACAACCATTTGTTGCACACAATCAGTTGCTCTGAATGTAAGATATGAGTTTGATTCATTGTTATAGCTTTTTCATTCATTGTTCCAGTTTTACTTGGATCATCAAAGGTTTTCTTGCAAATGTTGAGCACAGCAGAAGTAGGATTTCTCTCCATGTACATTTGTTAAAATGTTTGTCCCATGTGTGAAATAATGACAGCACATGGCAGGCATGTTGCTGCAAATTTCAAAAGTCCTCTGGTAGTACATTTAAATGCTGGCACACCCACCACACTGAAATTGTTCTTCAGTTAGAAGTGAAGGGAGCTACAAATCTCATGTTTGATGATACCCTCCTCTGCATTATCCTGCCCAGGATTGTAGTATCAGGTACATGAGCACAACATGCAGCTCTACTTCAAATTCATGTTCGTTTCGTGCAGCTGAGATCTGGTGCCTGCTTGCCATGGACTGCTCAGGCCTACTCTTTGATCCCTCCCATGCCCATCTTGCTGGCAGGAAGCCATCAAATTTTATTAACATGCTCACTGTCACCCATCTCAAAACTGGTACAATTCAACTTACATTATTCACTTGCAGAGCTTAGGAACAAGACTGTTGAAAGCATCAAGGTCAGTAGGCTTGAAATAGAGATCGGTTTCTAGGTGGTTGCCAGAGATGGAAACAGAGAGGTCCAGGAAGGAGAGAGAGGTATCGGAGATGGTCCAAGTAAACTTAAGGTTGGGGTGGAAGGTGTTAGTAAGTTGGATGAACTGTTCGAGCTCCTCGTTGGAGCATGAGGCGGCGCCGATACAGTCATCGATAAAGGAGGAAGAGGTCGGGGATGGGGCCAGTGTAGCTGCGGAAGAGGGACTGTTCCACGTATCCTACAAAGAGGCAGACATAGCTTGGGCCCATGCGGGTACTGTAGGAATTGGGAGGAGTTGAAGGAGAAGTTGTTAAGAGTGAGGACGAGTTTGGCTAAGCGGATAAGGGTGTCGGTGGAGGGGGACTGGTCGGGCCTGCGGGAGAGGAAGAAGCAGAGGGCCTTTAGGCCATCTGCATGGGGAATGCAAGTATATAGGGACTGGATGTTCATGGTGAAGATGAGGTGTTGAGGACCGGGGAATCGGATGTTTTGGAGGAGGTGAAGGACGTGGGTGGTGTCACAGACGTAGGTGGGGACTTCCTGGACCAGGGGGGAGAAAATGGAGTCGAGATAAGTGGAGATACGTTCGGTGGGGCAGGAGAAGGCAGAGACAATGGGTTGACCAGGGCAGTCGGGCTTGTGGATTTTGGGAAGGAGATAGAAACGGGCGGTGCGGGGTTGGGGAACGATGAGGTTGGAGGCTGTGGGTGGGTGGTCACCTGAGGTGATGAGGTTGTGGATGGTCTGGGAGATGATGCTTTGGTGGTCGGGGATGGGGTCATGATCAAGGGGGCGGTAGGAGGAGGTGTCAGAGAGCTGGTGCCTGGCCTCGGCGATGTAGAGGTCAGTGCGCCATTTCCCCTCCACAGTGGTCGAAAACGCCCTCGACCGCATCTCTCGCGTTTCCTGCAATTCATCCCTCACACCCCCTCCCCGCAATAACAACAAAGACAGAATCCCCCTCGTCCTCACGTACCACCCCACCAACCTCCGGATTCAATGCATCATCCTCCGCCACTTCTGCCACCTGCAATCTAACCCCACTACCAAGGACATTTTTCCTTCCCCACCCTTATCTGCCTTCCGGAGGGACCGCTCTCTCCGTGACTCCCTCGTCTACTCCACACTCCCCACTAGCCCCACCACCCCTGGCACTTTTCCCTGCAACCGCAGGAAGTGCTACACCTCCCCCCCCACCCTCATCCCAGGCCCCAAGAAAACCTTCCACATTAAACAGATGTTCACCTGCACATCTGGTAATGTGGTATATTGTATCCGTTGTTCCCGATGTGGCCTCCTCTACATCGGGGAAACCAAGCGGAGGCTTGGAGACCGCTTTGTGGAACACCTACGCTCGATTCGTGACAAACGACTGCACCTCCCAGTCACGAACCACTTCAACTCCCTCTCCCACTCCTTGGACGACATGTCCATCCTGGGATAGTAGGAACTGAAGATGCTGGAGAATCTGAGATAACAAGGTG